TGAATGCAACAAAATTGCCCGAAATTTCTTCGACATCTGACACAGTTGGTTCAACGTCGGGCTCGTCCTCGCTCCAGGTAACGGCTGACATAGACTTTTTGCGTCGAAGATAGGTGGCGCATTCAGCTTGTACATGCCCAAATCCTTCACTGTAACACCCCGAAATTTTAAAACTTTTGAAACTTATATAATAAAGGTAGAATCTCATTAAATCTCAAAACATGATATAAAAAGTACGGGGTGCTATGCCACACCTGAGCTAGAGAACTCAGGTGCACAGGCTAACTAACTAATATCCTTAATAATGTAAATGCATAAGTGTGGCACGCAGGCCGAAGAAGAAACTATCTACTTCTACGCTCCAAGATTCTAGCGCGCTCCAGTGTCTACTCCTCCGTGCCTGAAAGCCAAATATATCTGTTTAGCGAGAGATGCTGGTAACCCACTCCAACATGTTGAAATACAATACATATAGGCATATATATAGATATAAGAAAAACCATTTCGAAGCATGAAGATATATCCTAAGAGACTCTAGCTTTTAAAACGGGGAATAGACTCGACAGATAGGGATAAACACAGTCAACAGTCACATAATTCACAAGCACAGGGAACGGAATCGACAGATATAGATAAGCACAGCCAATAGTCATAACCAAGCATATACGGTTTTCTAGCATGTATCCTATGGTCACACTTTCATAACATTCGTAATCATCAAACCATCCATATCTCATCACATAGCACACTTTATTGGCGCCACAGGACCAATCGCATGCCCATACATGAGGGTCAGCGCATATAGCTCTGACACGGCCCCGCAGCACCCTGCCCCGTATCGCAACACGGAGGGGTCGATCGCAACCGACCGATGAACCGCAGCTCATCATAGTGTTTGATCGCAACCAAACAGTGGACCGCAGCCCAAGAGTAGTCATCTGACCTCAGCCAGGAATATGAACCGCAGCTCATGTAAAACGTTTGATCGCAACCAAACGGTGGACCGCAGCCCGAGAGTGTAAATCTGACCGCAGCCAGCTTTTGAACCGCAGCTCAGGAATAACCAATTTGATCGCAACCAAATTGGGGTATCATGCACACATAACACATAGCAAACACATGCAACCGACATTGACACATTGGGAAGGGGAGAAAACGTATAATGAAACCTATGCGTGGTTATCCACAAACTAGGAATACTCCTAAGGGGTTCATACTTCTTTCACCTAGGCCAACGGGATTCCAATTCAACTAGCATGCGATATATAAGACTCATTTACCCTACGAACGGTACCCGAAACATCAAACTAGACTTAGGCACGATAAACGGAGTCTGTCGGGACACCACGAGGTTCGGGGGAAACATCAAACGGGGAAGCCGGGATCCCGAGGTGGGGTAATTTCCAGCGGGTAGCCGGTGGGTGGGGGTCACCCGCCGGTGGCAAATTTCCGGGCAGCGGGTGCCCGGCGGGCAGTCGCCTGCCCGCCGGTTGCCCGCTGCCGGCGACGTCCCTCCTGGCAGCGGGTAGGTGGCGGGTCCCCTACGCCCACCTACCCCCCACTGACTCTTTTTCACAAATAACGCCCCGGGAACCTTTGTGGAACTCGAAACCATGCTTAGACACTTTAAAACGCAATTGATGGTAACACGTAGACAATTAACGGATCAAAAGTGAGAAACATATGACACATATCCTATCATGCTTTCTAAACATAATTAACACCCCAACATGCGAATTCCCTCCCAATACATTAAGAATAACATCATACGAGTTTTCACGTTACATCCTAGGGCTCTAATCACAATTAAATCATCAAGAACGCAATTCATCTTTTAACACTAAGGAACAATATGATTTATCAAGAATCTCACACAATCATTAGGAATCTAGGTTTATCAAGAATATCACCCAATCATCAAGAATCTCTTTCCATCATCAAGATTATCAAGATTACCCAAGAAAGTATAACATCAATTATGAAGATCACACCATCAATATCATAAACGAATCATCAATACACAAGAATGTAGAGGGATGCCTAGAGGGAGATCATAGCTAAGAAAATAGGTTTTGTTGAGACATGGGTTACCTCTTAGCCTTAATTAATTTCCTTGCAATTGGCTATGAAGGATCTTTCTTTAAGTCTTTCTTCCTTCTTGATTTCTCCTAGGGGAATTCTTAGAGCTCCTTGTGTGGTGAGAGATTATTGTGGTGTGGGTTCTAGGTGCCGCTTATGTCCCCTATTTATATACCTAGGAGTCCTAATTAGGATCTAAATACTATAGGCTTGCTAATTCTATTCCTTTTAGGACTAGGGGTTGGGTTTTAGAGGTGAGGGCCCACGGACTATGGTGGGCCATTTCCAAATTAATTATTGTAATTTAATTCTTTCTTTGGATAATTGGTTAAATGGTTAATTGGTTTTAGGGGTCGTAACACGGGGTGTTACATTCACATTCATAACACTTGATGCCTTTGTTGTTGGACCTTTCTTTGGACTGTCCTGGACGTGAGACAGACTGCTTGGCGTTTGACGCCCCTCTCCTAGGTGCAGTTTTGAACGACGTTGCTCCCTTTTGTGAATTTCTGTTGCGAGTGTTTTTGGATACCTGTTTCAAAATTTTAGAAAACTGTTTAGTTAAGAACGCAAATGTATCATCACTAATTTCATCTGTATCGGATACAACATTATTTTCTTCAGCGGCAAAAGCAATATTTTTTTTGTTTTTTTCGTATGATCAGTTAAAATCTCCATTTCATATGTTTTAAGATTTCCCATTAGCTGAGTAACAGATTTTTTCTCCCAGCCATCATGCTCTTGGATGGCTGTGACTTTCATTCGAAACCTGGGCGGTAAAGATCTCAGTATCTTCTTAACAAGTTTTTCTTGCGAGAATGGTTCACCAAGGACCATTGCGCGATTCGCCAGTTCCTGTACGCGTGTATGAAAGTCGATGACTGTCTCATCCTCGTTCATGCGCAGTTCTTCGAATTCTGACTGGACCAGTTGCAGCTTTGACTGTTTTACGGATGTAGTTCCTTCGTATGTAGACTCAAGAGCCTCCCAAGCACCTTTAGCCGAAGGAATACCTGCAACAATTGAAAACTGGCTTTCATGCATAAGAGAATAAATTGTGTCTAAGGCTTTGTCATTGTTTCCTGTATTGGTTATTTCTGTTTGAGTCCACTCAGTCTCTGGTTTAGTGATTTCTGTTCCATCAGCACTGGAACTGGGTTTAGTGGGATGTGTCCATCCTGACACCACAGACCGCCATACAGCTTCCCCTTGAGCCTTTAGATGTGTACAGGTGCGCGCCTTCCAATATGCGTAATTGTCGCCAGTCAACTGGGGAATGGCTTTAGTTCGATCCATTTTGCAAAACTCAATACCCCGTGAGATCAAACAAATAAGTAATAAACTTAAAAATAAAAAGAGCCGCTGAAGAGATAAATTCAAGATGCACGGATTCGCTAGATCGATAGACTAATAGATTAAGTCTACAGGCTCTGATACCAATTGAAATTGTACCGTGATACTTGAAAAATAAACATTATGTGTTTTTATAAGATAATTGTGTTATGTACCAGTTTAGTTAATTAATTAAACTTGTTTATGCAAGAATAAATAATAACTGCAGAAAGCATAAATAAAATAAAAACACAAGGAAATTGTTACGCAGTTCGGAGCTCCTTCTCCTACGTCTGCGGGGCAACCCACGTCTGCCCAATCCACTATAGATGTTCACCAAAGGAGTATTACAAGAGGTAAATGAATACGACCTCCAGCCTTTACCACTACCACTCTTTCTAACACCTATTCAGGATTGACACACGAATACCCGAACTATCTTCACAAGTTGCTTCAGCAGTACCACGTACTGATCATGCAGTACAATATAAATACTCTTACGAATTAAATCAGAAATTACATTTAACATATAAATTGCCTCGTAAATTCAGAATAGCTCTCACAATGTATATCCCATAAATTCACAATTGCTTTCTTCGAACAGTGTGCTTTTATAGCACTTCTTGAACCTTTTGTTTAGATCCTCAACCATAGCCTTTTCTTTAGCTTCCTGTTGTTCGAATAAGTCACAACCACTTATTTTTGTCCTTTGAAAGCTTCTTCGTAGATTTAAGGGCACAAAGCATGCTGACCACTAGTTTCATACTCACATGGTCCATAAAGAATTAAAACAAATAACACTAACTTATTTAAAAAAAGTACGATCAATAAAATAGTCAATAGTGTAATTTTATTTTACACTTACAATACTTGTGTTGCAATTGTGATTTTATTGTTTGATGCTTGTAATTAGTGGCTATAGTTCTTTGTGTCACGACGAGAGTTGAGCACAATTTTGGGCACACATAATTGCACCTAATTGTTGCACCTTGAGAAATGGTAATTTATTTAGGGAGTTTAATTCTTGATTATTGCCAGTTCGAGAGATGGTAGTAGTTAGGAATTTATGATGCTTGTTCTTGTTTTATTGGGTGATTATCGCACGAGAATGGATATTCACCAGTGTTAGTGACTGCGAGAGTAGCTCTATACCACTTTGCATCTTCACACTCGTATGAACCCAGAGTTAATATTACATTAGGTTAGGCACTAGGGGATTAAACACTTGAATCTCAGGAATCTCATTCTCTCTCTCTCTATTGTTTTCAAAACTTGAATCATTGCTTTAATTTATTTATTTATTTATTTGCATCCTTCACTCATAATCATTAGGTTTAGCTTCTCGTGAATAAATTAGTAATTGGTGCTTAATACCTCACTTCCATGTGGACCGATTACTCGATACTCCAAGTATTATTTGTTTGCAAATATACTACAATTAGGAGACATGCGGCAGAAGATAGACGGAAAAGATAAATCGACCACCAATGTAACTCCCCCGATTTTTACCACATTTTAAAAACTGAAATGCATAGGAAAACATCTAATCATCAAGACATAAAACAACGGAAGCTATATAAAACCAGGGTATGTTATGCCACACCTGTCTCAGACATAGGTGCACAGGCGGGAAAATCTATTAATCCAAACAAGTCATAAAAGTATCTAGGCACACAGGCCGCTAAAGCAGGCTCACAAGCCAACAAAACAAAGCGTCTACACAGGACAACTAATCTAACTAGCGATCCAAGTCTAGTGTTCTCGAGCATCTACTCATAACCTGTAGAACAAGGGAAATAACATGGGGATAACACCCGGTCAACGAATATTGCTGGTAACCCATCAATACGCGTTAAATAACATATATAGATAAGTATAAGTCAAAACCATTTTGAAACGGAATATAGTATATATCATTTCAAAAGCCATAGAGAGAAATCAACTTCAAGGACTCATTAACACTCTCAAAAGGAAAAGGAATCACCATCCTTACAACAACAACAACAAGACAAGATACATGAAAGACAATACAACTCAAGATGTATTCTACTGATCACAAAGTAGAATACATCGAGACATGCTCATAAGCAAAGATTACACATTCACATAACGACAACTACATGCCGTAATGACAACTACATGTCACAAGTAACATAGTTCCAAGTTCCAACCTCATGCCCTATTCCAACCTTATGGTTACCTCCGGCCTTATTTCAGTTCCAACCATTACCTCCGAGTAACCCCTGTACTTCTAAGTCCAACCTTATGCCTCCAGGAACCGTCGTTCCCCCACCAACAACCACCAACATTTCCACCAACATATCAGTACACGAGGGTACGATTCATTTCACACAACCACCAACATGTGAGCCAAACTCAAGTAACAACCACCAACATATAAATCATAGTCACACAAGTCATCATCATTACCAAGAAGACTAAGGTTCCACAATAACCTTAATCAAGTATCAATCAAAGGGTGCAACAATTACATACGTTCACATCATAGGAGTCAATCAATGGATCACAACAGAGACATGAAACCATACTTAACAACGAAGGATCACAATCCAACACCAAATGATTGTCAACACAAGTTGCCAATCACAATAGGAAAGAACAAACCACACATACTAGCATTTCAACATCAAACTAGCATGCTTATCAAACGGGTAAACCAAAAGTAGTTCCAAAGAACATTCAAGACTCACAAAAGCCCAACGAATCACAAAGTCGGACCCTTAGCACGATTCAAGACACCAAATCCTACATGGATTCCTAACATACCGTTCTAGACATATGGAACATCAAGAAGACTCACAAATATCTCAATAAAACAACATCGGGAGGTCAAAACATCAATACTGAGTCAAAAGAATCACGGAGAACAAACCCCTTCCAGCAACCATACTTGTTCCCCGTGGGTGGGGCCACGGGTGGACAACCACCCGCGGTTCCGCCCGCGGGTACCGACCCACGAGGCATTTGTTCCCGGCGGATGGGGCGGCGGGAAGGGCCTCCCCGCCGTTCCGCCCACGGGTACCACCCTGTACACCAAAATAATCCCTTCGGCGATTTTCAACAAGTCCAAGTCCAAAACACCCAAAATATCACACACAACAAAGATATGACTTGAACCCAAGAAATAGCCAAGCAATGGCATTCAAGAACCCTAAGAACAAGCTCTAAACATGCATCACCACAAGCCAATGCATCAAATCTCACAAATCAACACAAGAATCACAAGTAGAAGTCAAGAAATCATCATATAAGTAAGAAAATAGATTTTGTAAAGCATGGGTTACCTCCTTCACTTAACCATCCAAAAACAACACCAACATAGGCTCAACTCATAGAGCCAAGCTACCGGGAACCTGTGGATTAAACCGAACCTTCACTAATTAACAAGAGTACTAAATAAAACTAATTAAGCTCATAAGAGGATTTAAACCCTAGTTCCTCCCCAAATTACCCATAAGTACAACCATCTAAGCTAGGCATCCTATAGAAGGAAAGCCCAGAACCAAGCAATAATAGCAAGACTATAAGTTAAAACAAGACAAATTATGCTCATGGGATTTGAACTCTAACCAACACCCAACACTAAACACCTCTTACCACTAAGCTAAGATACAACTTATTAACCTTACTTAACAACAAACTAACTAATCTTAATAAACAACAACAAACAACAAGAACAGGAGCTCACCACCGTCTTCTTCGTTTCTTCAACCTGCCGGAACCCGCGGGTGGAACACGGCAACACATCCACCCGCGTCACCGCCAGCGTCCTGCTGAGCTTCACCGGAGCCCACTTCTGTCCTCCGTCGGAAAGAGGAACGCACAGCAACTGGGGAACGCTGGAAGGAAGGCCAACCACCGCTGCTGCTTTGCTCCACCGAGGATAACCGAGACCGCCGAGGTCCACGTCCGCCGCCGATGCGTGGGTGAGCTCCAAGCGCTGCACTCTGTCTCGTCAAGGCAAGGGAAGGGGTCACCATCATCATGCTAGCTCCACCGGAGATGGAAGTGGAGACCGCCGCTGCTTTTGGCCGGAGCTGTTTGCTAACCGAAGAACCGAAGAACCGAGCAACACTGCCGTCGACCTGCTCAGCTTCTCGTAGATGCCGAAGCTTCATGCCATGTTGCCGGTGGTTAAGATGAGGAAGGGAGATGGGAGGAAGGTGGGAGATGAGGAAATGCTAGGGCTGCTGATGGAAGGAGAAGACGGAAATGAAAGGGGCTGCCGGTTGCTTCTTCTCGGCCATGCCGGAACTCTGTCTTGACGGAAAGGGGAAGACGGGTGAAGCTGGTGATGGAAAGAGGCTGCTTGATGCCTTGTTGCAGCCGAGAATGGTGAAGGAAAACGAGGGGGGTTGTCGGCTGGAACACTAAAGAAGAGGCAAAGGTTGCTAGCTTACATACGCATATACATAGGTATATTATTAAAAATATAGATAGGTTACTATTTAGGGTAGGCTTTCATTTGTTGGTTGGGTTGGACTAGGCTAAATATATTTATATTTAGGGAGTTGGTTCACACATTTGGGTTTGGGTTCCTATTATTAGGTTGGGCTTAGGCTAGACTTGGGTTGGGTTTAGGTTCAAGACCACAATTTGGGCTAGGTAACTATTTTGGACCAAGGGTCATACAATATATATAAAATATTTTGGGCGTAAGGCATTTGGGTAATAAAATATTGGTTCACCATACTAAATAGACCGAAGTCCATTTTAAAATAAATTGCTATATAAATATTTTTAATAAAAATATTTAATATCGGGACTATAATTTATTTTAGGAAAATACGGGGTGTCACAACCAAGACCTTGCTGACCGCTTCCCTGTTTCCGTTGGAAGTTCTGGCTAACGAAGCCTCGACTGGCTTCAATTTACTAGAGCACCCACCTATGATCAATCAGGGGATCCACGCAATCATGTAATTAGCTTTCTGGCCAAGATGCAGGTTGTCGGGGCTGAGGACCCTATGATATGCAAGGCATTCTTTCCCACTTTAGTTGTCCTCGAGCAACGTTGGTTCTTAACTCTATCTTCGGGGCCGACTACCAGCTTTGAGGATTGGCAGACTGGTTTTTGACACACTTCGCAGGTAGTATGAAGCCCAAGAAATATATCTTGGACCTAGCCTGAGTGCATTAGGATGAGGGAGAAAACCTATGTAAGTACATAGCGCGCTGGCAAAAGGAAGCTCAAGCAGTCGAGGGGTTGGATGACAAGACTATTATGACATTCTTCATTGAATCTTTACGCGTGGACAGTCATTAAAGTAAGTTACGTGATGAGAATCCCAAGACCTACCCCCAGGCACCCCTATGACTCCTAACGACCATTAATAGTTGTCTATACGGAGCCTCAACAAGAGAAGATGCGGGTTCGATTCCCGCTATCCGCAAAAGATCAAGATAAAGTAACCAATCAGCTTGTTGATACTGAGGAGGCAGTCAAGCGAAATAGAAAGCAAGAGAGTTCTTCCACGAAGAAAAGGCCTCAGATGGATAATTCTCGTGACCACCGACCATAGGAAGTAAGCAGGCCGCGCGTGAGAGCTTGTCGGCTACAACACTGTCTGGGAGCTCCAGCTTGTAGAGTGTTAGCCCAGCCCATCCACGAAGACCGTTGTAACACCCCGTGTTACGGCCTCCAAATCAAATTAATTATTTAATTACTTACCCTAAAAAGAAAATTAAAATCCCTTAATTAATCAGGAAGGGTCCACCATAGACCATGGACCCTTATCCCTAAACCAAACTCTTAGTCCTATAAGAAATAGAATTAGTAAACCCATACCACTCAGGTCCTAACTAGGACTCTTAGATATATATAAGGACATGGGAGGCACCTAGAATTCACACCACAATAGCTTTCACCACACAAGAATTCCCAATAATTCCCCTAGGAGAAATCAAGAAGAGCAGATCTTAGTGAAAGAACCTTTATAGCCAAGGATTCCAATTAAGGCTAAGAGGTAACCCATGTCTCAACAAAACCTATTTTCCTTGCTATAATCTTCTTCTTTGGCTCCTTCTCTATGCTTGTGTCTTGATAAATCTTTTATGATGATTATGATATGATCTTGATGTTGATGAGATGATCTTATGTATTGATCTTGATAATCTTGATGACAATAAGAGGATCATGATAATTGTGTGTTGATTCTTGATAAATCTTGATGTTCTTGATTTTAAAGATAAAGTATGATTTTGTGATTTAAATATGATTAGAGCCCTAGGTTGAATCGTAAATTTCGTATTTTGATCCGTTATTTGACTACGTGGTGTCGTCGTTTGCGTTTAAAAGAGTCTAAACATGGTTTCGGGTTCCACAAAAGAAACCGGGACCCAAGTATTGAAAAAGAGTCAGTGGGGGATAGGTGGGGGTAGGGGAACCCGCCACCTACCCGCTGCCCCTAAAGGCGTCGCCGGCAGCGGGCAGCCGACGGGTAGGCGACTGCCCGCCGGGCACCCGCTGCCAGTAATTCGCCACTGGAGGGCAGCCGGCGGGTGGTCCTCCACCCGCTTGAAATTCCCGATGTGGGATGGTGGTTTCCCCGTTTGATGTTACCCCGACCCCTGAGGTGTCCCAACGGACCCCGTTTTTCGTGCCTGAGTCTAGTTTGATATTTCGGGTACCATTCGTAGGATAAAAGAGTCTGGTGTATTGCATGCTAGTTGAATTGGTATCCCGTTGGCCTAGGTGAAAGATGCATGAACCCCTTAGGAATATTCCAAGTATGTGGATGACCACGCATAAGTTTATTTATATGTTTTCTCCCCCTTCCCAATGTGCTAATGTGGGTTGCATGTGCTTGCTATGTGTTATGTGTGCATGATACCCCAATTTGGTTGCGATCAAATTGGCTATACGGGCAGTTGGATGGGTTGAGAACCATCGGCGGTTAAACAGGTCCGTTGCGATCGGTCAGGTATATAAATATTATATGGGGCTGCGGTCCACCGTTTGGTTGCGATCAAACGTTTTACATGAGCCGCGGTTCATAATCTGGTTGGGATAAGAATTACACTTTTGGGCTGTGGTCCACCATTTGGTTGCGATCAAACGTTATGATGAGCTGCGGTTCATCGGTTGGTTGCGATCAACCCCTTGGTGTTGCGATACGAGGCAGGGTGCTGCGAGGCCGTGTTAGCGCTATATGCGCTGACCGTCATGTATGGGCGTGCGATTGGTCCTGTGGCGCCACCAAAGTGTGCTTATGTGTTGAGATAATGATTGAATAATGATATTAATGATGTGAAATAATCTTGTGACCTTAGGATATATGGTAGTATCTCTATATGCATGATTATAACTGTTGAATGTGCTTGTCCCTACTTGTTGAGTCTATTCTCGATTTTTAAAGCTAGAGTCTCCTAAGTATATATCTTCCGGCTTCAAAATGGTTTTCCTATATATATATATATATATATATATATATATATATATATATATATATATATATATATATATATATATATATATATAGAGTTAGGATCATATGAGAACATGTGCTTAGGTGAGAATGTGAGAACACATCATGTTCATTCATCTAATATTTTTTAATGGTCTAGATTAGATTAAGTGTGTGCGAACGCGCATTAAATGTGTGCAAACACACTAAATCGTGTTTGCACACATTTAATGCGCATTCGCACACACTTAATCTAATCTAGACCATTAAAAAATATTAGATGGATGCACATGATGTGTTCTCACGTTCTCACCTAAGCACATGTTCTCACTGGAACTCTACCCTATATATATATATATATATATATATATATATATATATATATATATATATATATATATGCTTATATATATATATATATATATATATATATATATATATATATATATATATATATATATATATATATATCAATGTTGCAAAACACGCTAGGCGCCGATTTTTTATTTTTATTTATTTTATTTATTTTTTAATTTTTATAATTAAAAATTAAAAATTTTTAAAATTTAGTAATAAAACATAAGGTTTCCATAGTTATTTCTTAGAAACTATTTACGAAAGTGGTTGTAAAAGTGTTCAAAAGATTGTTTAAACCATCTAAATACATAAAAAAAAAACTAAAATTAAGAGCTAAAGAAGTATTTTTTTGAGAAATTAGGCAAAGTCACCCCTCCCCGCAAGGATTGCTGACTTCGCCTTCTCAGACAGCCTTTTTAGGCACGAAGTTTGGATGGGCAGCCATGCTACGTGCTAGGTGGGAGAACTGTCACCATTTCCTGCGAGGATGGATGACTTTGCCTCTTCAGGCATGTAGGCACTCAGGGGCTCGTAGGCTGTCATCCTCGCCCACTGAAGGGACATGGTGGATTTTGGATTTGGTTTGTAGTGATTGGCACTCAGGGGCTCATAGGCAGTCAGCCTCGCACACTAAGGGACTTGGTGGTTTTTAGAATTGGTTTGTGGAGGTTGGCACTCAGGGGCTTGTAGGTAGTCAGCCTCGCCAACTAAGGGCCTTAGCAGATTTTGGAGTTAGCTCGTTTGGGTTGGCACTTAGTGGTTTGTAGGCAGTCTGCCTTACCCACTGAGGAACAACGGATTTTGGAAGTTGGCTCGTTTGGGTTTGCACTCAGGGTCTCGTAGGTAGTCTACCTCGCCCACTAAGGGACTTAGTAGATTTTGAAGTTAGTTTGTCTGGGTTGGCACTCAGGGGCTCGTAGGTAGTCAACCTCGCCCACTGAGGGACTTAGCATATTTTGGAAGTTGGCATGTTTGGGTTATCACTCAGGGGCTCGTAGGCAGTCTACCTTCGTCACTAAGGGATTTGGCAGGATTTAGAGTTGGTTCGTTGCGTTGGTATTTGGGGCTCGCAAGCAGTCTGCCTTGCCTAGGAAAAGATTTAGTCAAATATGAAATTTTTTGCAAAGCAAGTAAAGTAGAGAAAAAAAAAAGCCGAAAAGCTTTCATTTCAAAAAGGGGCTTAGAAGCAGACAGTCGATTACATACATAGGGAATGGGGACTCTTAACAACTACTCTAAATGGTTGATGAGCCTATAGTCTCCTCCGTTGGGCCAGAGGAAATGTCAGTTGGAGCAGCGACAATCATTGTTGAGCGGAGACTTTGTAGCTTGTCAGCCTGCTCGCCTTCATCTTCCTCATCTAAGTCCAAGAGTATAGCTTGAGGTTCTCCAACCAATGAGCTTCGGTTGGCAGCCGAGTCTATATACTCGGTGTCCAGCGAAATCTATTGGCCACTACCTTAACCAATTGTTTGATGGCCAGGTCGACTACTGTGACAACCCAAAAATAATTTTTCTAAATTCTAATTTATAAATTCCAAAATAGCTATTTTCACTCTTCCAAAAATTTTATTTCGAAAACGATGTTTGAATTAAAATATTTTAAACCG